CCCCCCCCCCCCCCTTTTTCGGGGGGGGGGTTTAAAAACAAATTTTTTTGGTTTTTGGGGGGGGGGGGGCAAATGGGGTTCCCTGGGTTCCGGAAATTGTGGGGCCCCCCCCGCGGGGAGTTTGGGGAAAGGGGTTGGGGAAAAGGCCTTTCCCTGGGTGGCAGCCCCAGCGGTGCTAAGGGGTGGCCAGCCCCAGCGGTGCTAAGGGGTAGGCAGCCCCAGCGGTGCTAAGGGGTGGCAGCCCCAGCGGTGCTAAGGGGTGGCAGCCCCAGCGGTGCCAAGGGGTGGTAGCCCCAGCGGTGCCAAGGGGTGGCAGCCCCAGCGGTGCAGCGTCGCTGGAGAGGGGTGGAGGAGAGGTGGGCACGCGCGTGGAGAGAGGGGTGGAGAGGTGCACAGATTGTGGAGAGGGCCACACCGTGGGTTGGGCGCAGCGTGGCTGTCGGGCCTCCTGCAGCCGGCCCGCGCGGGTGTCGCGTGGGTCCGACGAGTATGAGCAACCCCCCCCCCCCCCCCCCCAGAGAGCGAACACCGCACCTGCGACTCCTGCAGCGAGTCGAGGCCGCCGCCGACAGCCGCCAGACCTGCAGTCGTCTCGGCGAAGAGGATGTCGGTCGCCGAGCGGCCGGGCGTCCCCTCGCCCTCGTCCGCCGCCGCCGCCGCCGCCGCCGCCGCCGCCGCCTCCGCCACCTCGGAATAGGTGGTCTCGGCGGTCGCCGACTTTGAGACGACGTCGCCCGCCGCCTGCGCCGTCTCTTCAAACTCGTCGCCGAGGCGCTGCGAGACGCCGTAGGCGACGGCGGCGGGGACCGCGAAGGACACGCCGAGCAGGCCCAGGTTGGGTGCCGGAACCGCCGAAGACGCCGGCGCCAGCTCGGTCTGTGGCGGCGGCGGCGGCGGCGGCACTGCCAGTGGCGGCGGTGGCGCGGGAACGGCGGCCGGGGCGACGGCGGGCGGCGCGGGCGCGCGACGGGGCGCGGACACGGTGCTGGCGCCCTCGTCCGCCAGCTCGATCTCGCCCACGGTCTCTCCAATCACGAAAGAACCGGCGGCGATGACAGCCGTGGAGAGCAGCCCGCGCCGGCCGTCGCTAGGGCTGTCGGAGCCGCCCATGACAACGGGAGTCGCGCGGCTGGCCGGCCGAGGGGCGGAAAGAGCCGGCCGTGCAGTGGTGTGAGCCCGCACTCCCGCGGAGGAGGTGATCAAGATCATGTCGAACCGTCGTAGCGGAGAGAGGGTGCGAGCACGATTCGCCTGTTCGAAGAAAAAGAATTCGTCGCGCGAAGAAAAAGAATTAAGCCGCAACGTGCGTTTGCGATTTTTATTTTCCCATCGACAGGCGCTTCGCAGCATCAGGGCGCGCGCTCCTGCTTCGCGGCTGTGCTCACGCCGCGCGCCCGGCCGCCCGCCCGCAGGTTCCGGCCGGCTGCGTCGGCGTGGCCAAACCCGATGCAGTTCTTTCAGCAGCAGCAGCAGCAACAACAACGACAGCCGCCGCCGCAGCAGCCGCCGCCGCAGCAGCCGCCGCCGCCGCCTCAGCCAGGAAACCTTGGCGTCGCGCAGCGAGGCGGGCAGCAGCAGTTTGGGGCGCAGCAGTTTGCCTTTGGGGCGCTGCAGCAGCAGCAGCAGGGCGGCTGCTGCGGCGGGCCGCCCTCGTGCGGACCTCCTGCGGGGAGCTACAACCCGTCGGGGGAGCTGCTGGCGATGATCAAGCAGGTCGCACGTGCCTCCTCGGCCTCCCCCGCCCGCCTCCCCGCCCGTTGCATCCCCCGCCTCCCCTCCTCCCTCCCACGCGTTTCCTCCCTGCTCGCCCCCCTCCCTTTCCTAGAATTATTTTTTCCCTCTTCCCCTCCCCCTCTTTTTCCCCTCCTGTCCCTCCCCCCCTCTTTTCCTTTTCTTTCTCCTGATCTTTCCCTTTTCTACCCTCCCTTTTCCTCTCTCCCCCCTTTCCCTTTTCCTTTTTCCCCTCCCCCTCCTTTTCCCTTTCCCTTCTTCCACTTCCCCCTTCTCGTTTTTCTTTTCCTCCCCCTCCCCTCCCGACCCCCCCTTTGGGGCGGAGCCTCCCGGGGGGGGGAGCTTCACCCCCCTTTTGGGGGGAACTTCTCTGGGAGATGATAAAAGAAAGGGTCGCTAGGGGGTTTTTTGGGGGTTTTCCCGGGGGGGGCTTCCAGGCTGTGTTGAAATTCCACGGTTTCCCCTTTTTTCCCCCCAAAGGGTTTCTTATTTGTTTGACCCCCCTTTTTTTGACCGGGCCTCTTCCTTTCTTTTTGGGGCCCACTTTCTTGCTTTTCCCCCCCCCCCTTCCCTCCCCCCTCCCGACCCCCCCCCCCCCCCAACCTCCCAGGGGCAGGGGCTCGGCCTGCCGCCCGCAAACAAGGGCGCCGCCGGGCTGGGCATGCCCGGCGCTCCCGGCCTCGGACACCTCTCCTCGGGCATGGCAGGGCCGGGCATCGGCCTCGGCATGGGTCCGCCGCCAGAGCTCGCGAGCGCGATGGGGGGCACCGGCTTCGACATGTCCGACTTCCCCTCGCTCGGCGGCCGCCCCGCCGCCGCCAACCCCGCGCTGCAGCAGTTCCGCGCCGCGCCGCCGCCCGCGCAGTCCGAGTTTCGTGCCGTCGAAGAGGACTTCCCCGCGCTGGGTGGCGCGCCTGCCAAGCGGCCCGCCGCGGTGGGGAGCGGCGGCGCCGACTTCCCCCCGCTCGGCGGCGGGATGGGGGACGAGGCCGCGCAGAGCCACGCGCTCCGCCGGTGTGAACGGCGTCTCTTCACACCCCGCCGGCCGTGAACAGGCCGCGCAGAGCCACGCGCTCGCGCGAGACTTTGGCGCGCCTCCGGGCGGAGAGCCGGCGAGCAGCGCGGGCAGCGCGACGGACCGGTTCGGGCTGAGGAGCATCCTGTCGGCGATCCGGATGACGAAATCCGAGGCGCGCGTCCTGTTTTTCTTTTTTAGGTTTGGGCTGATGGGCATCCTGTCGGCGATCCGGATGACGGAGCCAGACCTCAACACGCTCGCACTCGGCACCGACCTCACCTCTCTCGGCCTCAACCTCAACTCTGCCGACTCGCTCTACGCCACGTTCGCCTCGCCGTGGGCCGACGCGCGCGCGCAGCGCGCGCCCGAGGGCAAACCTGCAAGAAGAAGTACTGAGGGCGCGTCCGATTTCTTTTTTAGGCGCCCGCGCAGCGCGAGCCGGAGTTTACGCTGCCGCAGTGCTACTACATGCAGCCTCCGGCGCTGAAGACGGGCCACCCCTGCCTCGAAAGTCCCGGCTCGAGAGGGCGCGAGATTGCGCGAGATTACGCGAGGGTGCGCTGGGGTACAGGCCACTTCTCGAAGTTTCAGCTGGAGACCCTCTTCTACATCTTCTACAACATGCCGCGAGACACGCTGCAGGAGAGATCAGCCGAGATCGGTCGAGATCAGCCGAGATCAGCCGTGATCAGCCGAGATCAGTCGAGATCAGCCGAGATCAGCCGAGCTCAGCCTAGATCAGCCGAGCTCAGCCGAGCTCAGCCGAGCTCAGCCGAGATCAGCCGAGATCAGCCGAGCTCAGCCGAGATCAGCCGAGATCAGCCGAGATGCGAGGTCTGTCCCCTGTCGTTGGCCCGGCACTTCGGCTGCAACCCCTCGCCGCCCCCCCGCCACCGCTGCAGGCGTACGCTGCGACCGAGCTGTACAACCGCGACTGGAGGCACCCCCCCCCCAAGGGCGAATCAAGACATAGAGACACGCCGCCGGCCCGAAGGCAGGACGGCGCGGTCGCAATTCTGTGTTTAGGCACCGCCAGGACCCTCCACGAGTGGCGCAAGAAAAGAAATACCGGCAGGTCTCGATTTCTTTTTTTAGGTACCACAAGGACCTCACGCTCTGGTTCACGCGCGCCAGCCGGCAGGAGGGGGGCGGCGAGGCCGGCCAGAAGGGGCAGTACCTCGGTTTTGACATCCACGAGTGGCGCAAGAACAAGAAATACCGACTCCGGCGAGTTCTTCTTTTAGGCAGTACATCTACTTTGACATCCACGAGTGGCGCAAGAAGCTCTTCCACGGCGTGGGCGGCGGCGGCGCGGCGGGCGGCGAGGGCGCGGAGGGCGAGAGCGAGGAAGCGCCCCTGCCGAACCTCGGCGGGGACTGACGCCTGCCCTTGACCCATGGCTCCCGACGAGCGCCCTCCGTGCCGAGCGCCCAACGAAAAGCCCGCGCACACGGCAACTGTCTGTGCCGGCTCTGGTCACCGTCTGTACACAGAGTCCAGGCCCCCTCCACCGTATAAAGGGCTGTGCACATTTGAGTTAAAGCTTAAAGGGCGGGGTATTCGCTGACATGTGACACAAAATACGGGGGCGGCCTGCTCTCCGGCCCGTGGCACCGGCCACCGCTGCGCGGCATGTTGTGCGAGTATATGGGACAAAAGCGTCGAAAATGTCCCAAAAAGCGTGTCTCGAGTTTGTTGCAGCTCCGCAGCCTGCGCGCGCTGCCGGGACGCACCGCTCGCGCGTTCGGCACACTCGGTGGACCCCACCGAGTGTGCCGAACCAACGGGAGTGAGTAGGCTCGACGCCGTACTCGAGATGGAGCTGCAGAAAGTACGCCGCCGAGCGTGCCACCGACGGCGTCCCGGCGGCGGTGATGGAGTGTGAGACCTGAGGCTGCGGAGGTGACGCCTGAGGTACCGGCCCGTGCACAGCGACTCAGCCGGCGACCGCCACGGGCTCAGACGAGACTTGTCGACTCGTTCCGGCTCAGCTTCACCGTGGTCATCGGGCGTCTGTCGACGTCAGGACCACCCATACAGCTCGCGGGTTTGAGGTCGCAAGAGCCCAGATGGTGGCGTTTGGACATCCCAACCATCACACAAGATAGCCTGTAGGTGATGGCGGGACGGCGCAGTGTTTGTGGCACTCAGCAGTAGGCACCCGCGGCACGGCCCCGCTGTCGGCTCTCACGGGCTGCGGAACCGGCCCCAGAGGGAGCCGGTCCGGGCGAGTGTGGCAGCTCCTGCGCTAGTATGGGCACCCTCTATCATAGCACTACTGATCCTGGTCATTAGAGCTGCCAGGGATAGCGTCAGGAGCCGGTAGGAGTCAAAACCTCTCATATTTGAGACATCGTGTCCCATATACTCGCACAACGAGCCGCGCGCTAGGAGAGGCGCAGTGCGAGAAACCGAGATCTCCGTGAATGTGCGAGAGCGACCGCCGTGCGCCGACCCCCCGCGAGCGCACCGACGGGTCCGTGCGGCCCGCCGGCCGGCCGGCGGCGGCGCCCCGCCTCGCTGCGCCCCGCCGCCACACCGCGCGAGCGCCCGCTGTGCGGCACGTCTCGACCCGACACCCCCGTGCGTCTCTATCAGTCTCTGGGTAAACGGTAAAGCCGTACCAGTCTCTCCCCCGCGCCCGGGGGGGTAAGCGTGTTTCGTCTGGTCGTTGGTAACAAGAGAGAGAGAGAGATAGACACCACTTGGACACGCGGGACATCGTTTCAAACCAAGCGGCGGTGAGCCGCCCGGGAGCGCGGGTTGGGCCCAGGGTGTGGGTCACACGAGCTGTGACTGGAGCGCTCGCGCGCCCTGTAGAGCGCCACACACACCAGCGGTTAGATATCTAGCATTCGTCGTGTCGTACGTACACCACCTTCTTCGAGAGCTTCTCGATGTCCTTCTCGATCTGCGCCAGCTAATCGGCGGCGCGCAGCTGCTCCTGTTAGTCGACAAAGTTGTGCCCGAGCTCCTGCTGCACGACTGCGCGGCGGGGCGGAACCGTCCCCTCGCGGCTGAGAGGCGATGCGCCGGCACCGGGGCTGCAACGCGGGGCCATTTTCAGGCCGTCCCGGGCAAGCTCAAAATCTAGTGTTTCATGACCTCGACATCCTGTGCTGCAATTTGACCTCAACCTCGCGGCCCGCTGCGCGGCTCTTTGAGCGCGAGAGGTGTCGTCTACGAGGCGGCGGCGAGCGCAGGCGGCGGCGGCGCGGCGGCGCGGCGGCGGAGCGCGGCGCAGACAACGGCAGCAATCTGCGGCAGACACGCACACACGCCTCCCTTGCACTATACCACTCACACCGCCGCCGCACTCTCGGGAGCGGGCGGCGGCGGCGGAGGAGAGGCTAGGCGGGTGACGACGCGGCGACGGCGCTGAGGGAGCGGCGACCGCGGGTCCGCGGCGCGACGGGAGGCGGCGCAGCTGCGGCGGCTACCGCCGACTCGGCTCGACAGCAGCTGATGGCTAAGCCTCCCCTCCCCTCCCCTCCTCCCCGCCCGCCCGCCCGACCCCGCCGCGCCCCCTGCCTCCCCTCGCCCGCGCACTGGCCACCGCCCTTCGCTCGTCTAGCGTATAGGTGCTCTCGAGGGGGGAGGGGAAGACGTAGGGCTGAGCTGGACTCGCCTTTCCTGAGGCCCCTCCACCTTCACTACTCTCGAGCGGGCGCCACTGCGTTAGCACGGCCGGAGGCCCCTCCCCGAAAGGCAAGTATTAGCCACACGAAACCGAGACCCCTCCCCACCGCCCCGACCCCCCCACCCCACTTGCTCCCCTCCCCCCCTCGGGAGGGCCGAACAGAGGCGCCCGTGGGGACCCCGCAATTCCCTTCCCCCCTCGGAGGGGGCCGGACGAGGCGTACCCCGAGGGCCCCGCTCTGTTCCTCGCATAGCGGCCACTCTTCGGATCGCTGGTCGAGCGACCCGGGGTGTGTGTAAATAGCTTCAAAGAAGTTCTATTAAGAAGGACCAAGCGCACCAGCGACACAAGGGACTGTTCTACTAATCAAAACCCGCCCTCAAACCAAGGCGCAAGGGTAAACCACAGGGCTGGGGGAATGCTGCGCTCCCACCCCCCCACGGCCGACCCCGCGAATTCATCGGGACGCGGGGGCTCTCTCGGGTCTCGGCTACGGACGGCCTACGCGCTACGGGACCGGCCCCAGCTTCGGCTGAGCAGGGCTGAGGTAGATAGAGCCCGACAAGCTGCCGAGCCCGAAGGAGGTGGGCAGGTGGGGTGGTCCTCACCCCGGCGGCCCGCGCACGCACGCCGTCTGAGCCTAGCGCAGCGCGAACTCGCTCTGAGCCTAGCGCAGCGTGAGATTTGCGCAGCAACCCTTCCAGCGCAATGTTATCCCGCACACCGCATCGGCGCGCGCGTCGCGGGCATCTCGCCAGGGGCCAGCGCAGATGTGCGCCATCATCGAGGCGCAGGCGGGCGCGAGCGACGCCGCGCTGCGCGTGGCGGAGGAGCACGCCGCTCGGCTCGTGGAGCAGCCCGAGTGGGTGCTCTCCGAGGTCCTCCTCTCGCCGGACCTCGCCCCGCACATCCTCGCCCAGCTGCCGACCACGGAGCACGCCGCCAAGGGGACGTGCCGCTCGTGGCGCCGCGGCTGGAAGGAGACGCTGAAGAAGCGCGAGAGGCCGCGCCTGCTCGTGATCGGCGGCGAAGACCGCGACGACGACCTTGTCAGCTCGATGGAGCGGTACGACCCGTCAACGAACGCGTGGGAGGAGGAGGCGGTGTCGCCGATGCCAACGGCACGTGAAAATGCCCGCATGGCGGTGACCGACGACAAGCTCTACGTGGCGGGCGGCGTGGACATGGAGGGCGCAACTTCCAACCTGGTGGAGCGGTACGACTTTGCTACGAATTCAAGTGAGGCTGTGGCGCCGCTGGCAGAGGCGCGGTATGATCTCGCTGTCGGAGTGCTCGACGGCAAGCTGTACGCTGTGGGCGGCTTCTGTGACGACGGCTTCCTCAGCTCCGTCGAGCGGTACGATCCCGCGACGAACGCGTGGGAGGCGGTGGCGCCGATGGCAGTGCTCGACGGCAAGCTGTACGCTGTGGGCGGCTTGAACAACGACGACGGCTACCTCAGCTCGGTGGAGCGGCACGACCCGGCGTTGAACGCGTGGGAGGCGGTGGCGCCGATGGCGGTCGAGCGGTTTGCCCCCGCCGTGGCGGTGCTCGATGGCAAGCTGTACGCGGTGGGAGGCTCCAACGACGACGACGGCTGGCTCAGCTCGGTGGAGCGGTACGACCCTGCGTTGGATGCGTGGGAGGCGGCGGCGCCGATGGCAGAGGCGCGGGAGGCTCACGCCGTGGCGGCGCTCGACGGCAAGCTCTATGTCGCAGGCGGAAAGGGTGCTGGTTTCAATCGCCTCAGCTCGGTCGCGCGGTACGACCCGGCAGTGGGCGCGTGGGGGGCGGTGGCTCCGATGGCGGCGGTGCGGAATAAGGCTTTCGCTGTCTTGATGTAGTCGCCGTTGTGTGCGTGCTATAGTCGAAGCTCCCCACGGCGTGGAGAGTGTGTGCTGAAGTCCCTCGCCTGACACGCTGAGCGTGCGTGCCCCCGCCGCCTTTGAAAGAAAAAAATGCTGAGCGCGAAAAATCGGCACACCAATCTCCCTTCCTCTCTCTATCCTCTCTTGGAGCTCCAGAATCCACATACCCCCCTGCCCTGGGATCATGCGGTACAACTACAAGCTGAAGCTCTATTCCTGCTGGAACACGAGGCGCTCCTGCGCGTAGATCTCCGCCAGTGCCCATTGAAGGCCCCATTCTCTTCGCACGCTGCCCGAGAAGCTCCCCGATCGTGGGAGCTCGAGGCCGCAGCGCGCTCCTCGCTCCCTGCCGTCCGCCACTTCCCGGTCAGCGTCTGCCCCACGGCGGCTCTGCATAGGGCGGAAGTCGTCGCACGAGGCGTTGGCTCGCCGCTTGTGCCGGCCACAGGCGACGACCTGACGACGCGGGGATGCGGAGGCCTTCCACGCTGGCCATCTAGGAAACCAGTGCGCGGGTGGGCCCGCTCGAGAGGATAGCTCTCGAGGATAGCTCGAGGAGAGGTATGTGTCTCTCCCACGGGTGCGCAATCGTACAAAAGTGCGGGGCCGGGCTGAGATGCCTGTGCCGGCGAGAGCTTGTGCAGCACTAGCTGCTTGGCCTGTTGGTGGCGGTCGGCGTGACGAGAGGTGCAGCTTGAGCACTGTTCAAACTATAACCCTAATAATGTGCCTAATTACTCGCAGTTTTAAGTAATGTGAGTAGTGGGTTCCTAAGAGCGTGAGCAGAGGGCGCCAGGTTTACCTGGCGGCAGCGCTGCGCCAGCAGCTTCGTCTGCTGCTCGGGGCTCGGCCGTGGCCGGTTGAGGAGGTGCGGGTCGGTGCGGCTCGCCTGCTCACAGCTGGAGGCGTGAAGAGACGCCGTTCAGAGCATCCAAGCCGGCCTGCGGGCCGGTGCGGCTCGCAAACGGAAGGACGCCGAGGGCGCATGGCTGGACGAAGACGGGCAGGGCGCGGTGTAGCCCAGGATTTGGTGCACTAAAGACGGGCCGGTGCTGCCTCCCCACCGACTTCCCCGCGGCCGAGGCGGCGGCCGAGGCGGTGGCCGAGGCGGCATCGGCGCCGCTGCCATTCGTCTGCCGCGAGCGGTAGTGCAGCAGCAGCGCCACCGTCAGGTCCTCCGCGTTTGGGACAGGGTGGAGCGCCTCCGCCCGCCGCACCACCTGCACCGCCGTGCCGCGAGAGAGGAGGTAGCCCGCGCCGTGCATGGTGAGTGGGAAGCGCCAGCCGCGGCGGCACTTTCGGTCGCGCAGCAGCCGGGGGAGCGCGAGCTGCCTGAGGACGGGCAGGTGCTCCTTGCCGGCGCAGCGCTGCGCGAGCGGCGAGCCTGCGTAGAGCGAGTCGCGCCTCCGCCGCGGCAGCCGCTCCAGCCAGCGCAGCACCCCGCCAACGCACACAAAGGAGTCGTCGTCTGTCTTGAGGAGATGCGAAAAGGATGGCGCCGCCGAGCCGAGCGCCCACGCGAAGCCGGCCAGCACCTTGAGCGACAGGGAGGAGTAGCCCTCGCCGACATCTAGCACCACAGTGTCGTTGTGCGCAGTGGCGGTTCCACTTGAGTTGCCACCGCCAAGCACAAAGCGGACGGTGAAGAAGCCGCACGCCCGTCGATCGTGGGCCCACGCGTTCCGCAGCGCCGCGCGCTGCTCCGCTCCGCGCTCGGTGGGCCGAGAGAAGACGAGGATGAGCAGATGGATGGGGTTATCCGGAGAGGTCATCGTCGGTGCACTCGAGTTGTCCATCGGCGTGTTTTTTAGAGACGTGAATGCGCCGTTCACATAAACGCACAACCACAGTATTCTCGAGGTTCTCGAGGTGGATATCCTTTGGCAGCGTTGGGTAGCGAGAGAAGAAATACATAATATTCACATAAACGCACAAACCCGGGCCCGAAATCGCGCCGTTCACAGAAACGTCAGCGCCGCCTTGAGCAGGCGCACATCGCTTCCAGGGAGGGGGGCGCGCTTCTCTGCACGCCCCACTCCCCCCCCTAGCATGTGGTGAAGCCTCTGGGGGGGTCGGGACCCCCCCCTCTAGGGTACGATACTTCCGGGCCGGTGTGCGGGGAGCGAACCTTAACGACCGCCCAGAAGCTTTCTGAGCGAACCAATCGGGCCAGGATCATCAGCATATGTCCCCTCCACAACATCGTGGGCGTTTGAGCGGTATTTGAGGAGCACCGCGACTCTGAAGTTCGGCCGGGTGGTCTGCAGACCCCCCCCCCCGGAGCAGCAGAGGCTCCGTGGGGTCGAAAAGTCGACGCTGGGAGTCGCACTCGTCAAACCGTCGCAACACCACGCGGTACGCACATACCGCCCACATCCCCTCCACCGCTGAGAAGGCGCAGATCGACCGCCGGGCCGCGTAGCCGTCGTTAAGGAGCGGTTTTTGGAGCCGTACGAAGAGGTCCCAGACGGGCGAAGATGCGGTTTTTCGACGACCACACGCGATGTGGTATCTGGTTTTTGCTAAAAACGGGCCGCCTAGTGCAGCATCACTAGTACAACACGCAACCACACTGAAAGCTCCACACTAGCCGGTATAGGCGAGCGCCGACGGCGTCACGGTCGCCGGAGTGGACGCACTGCACACACACTGTGACCGTGTCGTGGGTGTGACAGTGCGCGACACAACCGTCGGCGCCGCGCTATCGCGGCGCCCCGCAGTCTACACGCCTCAGGCACACCCCTGAACGCGCCATGGGCGCGCAGATACACCGCAGCGCCGTGGAGAATCCACACCTGGCCGGTCCCGAGCCCCGTCCTGGGCCTCCAGGCGGCCGAAGATCGGCGTTCGGGCAGGATGAACTTGTCGGAAATGGAGCAAACTTGGCGCGGCTCGTCGCTCGCGGTACCGGGTGAGCCTGGATAGGGCAAAATCTGGGGTGAATACGAGGGACAGAGGTCGCAAGTTTGTCGCGCAAGTTTGCGCGGCGTGGCGCTGCCCCGCTGCCGAGGGCACCACCAACCCGTGGCGGCGGCATTTCCAGCCCAAATTGGGCGTTCCGTGCGCCTTGCCGGCGAGAGTGGACGGGCTGTGCATCGTGGGGGGGGGTGAGTGGGAGGGAGGTGGTCGTGTGCCTACTTTGTCGGCCGCGCGCGAGGAAAATACTGGGTGTGAGGCGCGCAGGAGGCGAGGGTGGGCGCGCCGGCGGTCGAGCCACCGAACAATTCGACGTGGCGCAGCTCCGCGCCGGCGGGGACGACCGAGCACATGATGTCGGCGGCGGTCACGCGACGAGGGAGAGCCGCAGGAGCCCTCTGTGGAGCAGGCGCGCGAAAGCAGCGATGAGTGGCGCTTCGTCAGCCACCTGTGGGCGGTCAGCGGGGTGACGCCACGCCTCAGCGAGCTGGATCCGGGAAGGGCAAGGGGTCACGCGGGCCCTGTCTGCAGCAGCAGTGCTAACTAAAACGACAAAATTCCGGATGGACCGGAGACTGTCTACTCTTTCGGCGCACCGTCCTCGACCGCGCTGAAAAGCTGGCTGGTGGTCGCCGCAGCGCGTCCGCGCGACTCCAACTGGTTGGGCACCTCGGCTGGGTCCATCAGCAAGAGGCCCGCCCCGTCGGGCGGCCCCGGGAGCGCATGATGCCCCTCCGAGAGGCGCTGACGCCCCGCCGAGATCGCGCTGGTTTGGCACGAAAAACACGAGGCGCCAAGGGGGGGGGGTCAAGTATCGTACCCTAGACCCCCCCCCTAGCATGTGGTGAAGCCTCTGGGGGGGGCCGGACCCCCCCCCTAGCATGTGGTGGGCACGCCCCCCCAGCAGTTCGTGGGCTAGGAATAGCCACCAGAGATCCGATTTTGGCCCCAAAGTTGTGAAATCGTGGCTGAAAGTCCACTATCTTGGAGAATCTGACCAGTCTCAAGGCTCATATAGCTCCAAAGGATGATTTCCCCCTCGAAAATGCTCGAAATGAGGCGTAAAATCAAGGGCCCGGAGGGTCTGACCACGAGTCTCTGGGGGGGTCCTCGGCCACGACCCCCCCCTAGCATGTGGTGAAGGTGCTGGGGGGGTCGGGACCCCCCCCCCTACCAAGGGGGAAAACCTTTGGGGGGGGTGGGCCCCCCCCCCCCACCATTTGGTGTGCAGAGAAGCGGGGCCCCCCCCCCCCCCCCTTGGAAGCGATGTGCGCCTGCTCCTTCGCGGTGGGCGTGCCCAGGCGCAGCTGATATGGCTGCCCAGCTTGAAGTCTGCCCTGGACGGCAGGTAGATTGCGACGTCGGCTTGCGAAGCAGCAGCCTCCGCGATCAGGGAGCGGAGCTCGGCCTCGCTCGCCGCGGCGACATCGAAGCCGGGGAAGACCGGCGGCGTAGAGGGCGGAGGCGGCGGAGGCGGGAAGACCGGCGGCAGAGGGGGCAGAGTCGGTGGCGGCGGAGAGGACGGCGGCGGAGGGGGCAGCGACGGCGGCGACGGAGAGGACGGCGGGAGGGGGGCGAGGGTGAAAGTCTCGCTGCCGTAGGATCCAGAGCCGAGCGTGAACGTATAGCCCGCACCCTCCCACTCGTCGCCGTTCCAGCCGTCGCCCCACGAGTCGTACATGTTGAGCGTGCACTCGCCGGGCGGCGCGGACAGGGTGCCAGAGTAGGGGGCCCCTCCACTGCCGATCAACGCGCCGCTACACGTCAGGTCCCACGACACCTCGTACGGGTAGCTGCCGCCACCCACAGTGACCTGGAAGTCGATTGAGCCAGACGTGTGGTCTGATGGTGCACATGCCAGCGGGAGCAGCGCGGCGAGAATCAGCAGCCACGCGCCACGCCTCGCCCCCGTCCGGCACCGCACGAGGCGCCCCGAGCTGCTCCTCCGCACCGAGAGCAGCACGCCGCCGCACGCTCCGAGCAGCAAGAACAAGGCGGCCCAAAACTGACAGCGCTGCTGGGTGCGGACAGGCGCGAAAGAGGAGGGTCCGCTCATGAAGGGAAAGTGGAACGGGGAGGGCAGGTCGATGGAGAGCTCGTCGGTGAGTGCGTGGTGAGGCTCCGCATGCCACGCAACGGGGGCGGCGCAGCGTGGCTGCCGGTCGGCGCACACACGTGAGACGGAGGAGATATCGGACTGGACCGAGTTCGAATCGGAGATCTGAGCGGCACGGACCTCTGCAGGCCATGCCGGCTCCGCGAGAAGAGGGCCGATGGCCCGGCCAAGCTGGAGGAAGAGATCCTTGGTTGTGGCTGGAGAAGCGGTCGCCAATCTGTTCACCCGCCACTCGCCGCCGGCGTGCATGCTAGCGACGGGCGCGACGAGGCCAGTCTCAACCAGCTTCTCGGGCGTGTTCCCAGCGTCGGCGGACCGCATCTCCGTGCCGTTCACGGGCAGGACGGTTTCGCGAACGATGATCCCTGATCTGCTGCTGTAGACGGGACCGACGAGGTCGATCTCAGGCTCGCCCTTGCGCTCCATGCTGTTGCGCGAGGCCGGGACGGTCTCCAAGTCGGCCCCGCCCTACACGCAAACACACAGGCAATCCGTCAGCGGGTGACCAGGGCTCGCACAAAGAAACAGGCAGAGGGGCGCTCACCGGCTGCTTCTCGTAAAAGTCCTTGACGGACGCCGGCGGCTCGCCAATCAGGTGCAACGGCTCGCCCACCGCCTCTTTGATCGCTTCCATCAGTGCTCCCCACGAGCTCCCGTCCTCGTGCCCGCCCTGAACAGCGCGCGGGCTGTTAGTCACGAGCTGGCGAATACTAGCACGCTCGAGCGAGCGCGCACCGGGTGGTTGGCGGGCGCGCTGTCCGATGACACGATGGCTGCAAACGAGCTGGTGTCGTTGCCGCCAACCTCGCAGAAGCCGTTGGGCGATGCCGGCGTGAACGGCTTCGCGACGGCTGCGGGAGGCGATGTCGGCCACGGGGAGTCGTGCCGCTGCGAGGAGAGAAGCGCGGAAGTGGCAGAGTACGAGGAGTGCGCAAACGCGGCTCCGAGGCAGATCAGCGCGAGGATGAAAAAGAGGCGGAGCAAGTTGTAGGACTTTGACCACGGGAACCGGCCGGCGGCAGAGCCCTCGGGCGTGGTATTCGTGGTCGTCTCGACGTCGACCGTCGCGCCCTAACCTGGTTTGTGGAGCTCCCGCAACTTACCCGTAGAGGCCACCATAAGGGACCCCATTGCCCGTTTGCCACCAGACTTTTTTTGAGTTGGAGGTAATAACTAAATGGATTGCACTCTCCCAAAGAACTGATGCATTCATAGTGCCTTCACATAGTTACAATACCTCAAAGTTGAAAAACTCCAAAATAGGCCGTCAGGACTCTGTCAGGACTCCGTCAGGACTCTGTCAGGACTCTGTCAGGACTCTGTCAGGACTCCGTCAGGACTCTGTCAGGACTCCGTCAGGACTCCGCCAGGACAACCACTGTCCCCGCTGTGAATAGAGCCCTTAGCTAGAGAGTAGGGAGGGGTGTACAGTCGAGTTACTCCCGAGGGCAGGGACGGCCCTCCACTGAGGGAAAGGGCGCACGGGGACGGTATCGACCCAGCCACGCAGCTCTTTCCTCGCGTACAGCCAACGAGTTTGCTGGTCCACAGGCAGGCCAGGCCGTGAGCGTGGGCCGGTCAGGCCTGATCCTGCGGTGAGCACTGGAGGGCTATGCGGCTCGCTCCGTCAGCCGACTTGCGCTGTCGAGCGGTCGAGCGCTTCGGGTTGGACCCGCGGGAGGGTCCCTGCGCGGCTGACATGGCCAGCCAAGCCGTGTGCGCTGCCGTGGGTGCTGCCGTGGGTGCTGCTGTGGGCGCTGCCGTGGGCGCTGCCGTGGGCGCTGCCTCGGTCAGCAGTCGGTCAGCCGTCGTCCGCTGCTCGGCGCTGGCCTGCAGGTTGCCGGTGGCAAATCGGGGGCGCGCGGGCCATGGACGTCGTGGCCGAGCTTTGCTGCCTATGCACGTTGCCGGCTGTAACGTTGCCTGCACCATGGCCGCGCCTCTCTTGCTTGTGCGCTTTCATGGTCGGCCGAGTGGCGCGAGACCCAGTGTGATTTCTTTTGTCTGTCAGGACTCTAAGTTCTGTCAGGACTCTCAAGTTTCTGTCAGGACTCTCAAGTTTGCTTGTCAGGACTCCCAAGTTTGCGTCAGGACTGCCCCATCAGGACGATTCCGCAGAGGGCGCGCACGGTCGAAAGGGGGGCTGGGCGTCTATCATTCACTGCTGGGGGGGAGGGGAAGGAGGGTTGCAGTGAAGGAAGGTGGAAGTCTCTTCGGAGGCACTTGTGAGCACTGTGAAGACCGTGCGCCGTCAGGACCCCGCCAGGACTCTGTCAGGACTCTGTCAGGACTCTGTCAGGACTATGTCAGGACTCTGTCAGGACTCTGTCAGGACTGTCAGGACAGTTGCGGGAGCTCCACAAACCAGGTTCCCTGAAGAGGAGGGCGCGGGCCTGGCTGTGTGAGCGGCGAGCGGGGGAGGAGAGGAGGCCGCATATGCAGGCGGCGCACACCGAGTCTGTGGTCGGCGGCGTGGAGCCGCCGGTCGCCTTGCCGGTGCCACCGAGGATGCCCTCGTTGCCGTCCGTTCCGAGCAGGGCCCCGAACCTGTTGCTGCCGCCGACCGGGGTGGTGTTCTTGGTGCGGACGATCGGGGCGGATGCGCCCTTGCGCCCCTTCTTGCGGCGCGGGTTCGACGGGGTTGTCCGGTCGGAGATACCCTGCGCGCGCGCAAGCGGTGGGTGCGTCAATAGTTGAGGCTCTGTGCGTGCACCGCAGCCGATCGGCGCCGTGGCGGGCTTCACCCCCGGAAATTCCTTGGCCGAGACGGTCCAGTCGGCGTCGCCCTGCGCAATGAAAGCGGGGTGGGGTCGAGGAGTGGGACGGCAGACGCACGGCGCAGAATGCAAGGCGCTCGCCGCCGGGGCGGGCGTCTCCACCGGAAACTCCTCGCTCGACGGCAGCGGCGCGCCGCCGGTCGCCGCCGGCGTGAGAGCCGGGGCACTTTTGGTGACGCCGTTGGGGGCCGTCGGTGGGTCCATCGGAGTGGTGTTCTTGGAGCAGTCGACCAGGCTGGGCTCGCCCTTGCGCTCGATCTTGCGGAGCATATGGGGGTACATGGGTGTGTGTATGGGGGTATATGGGGAGGAAGGAGAATTTTTGGGGGAATTTCGGGAAATTGGATCAATTGTGGAAATTTCCCCCCCCCCCGCCCCCCCCCCCCCACCCCCACGCCCTCCCCTCCCTTTGGAGCCTCGCCTACACAGACAAAAAGAAATCGAGCGCGGCGCGTGGTGGTTTGCTAATGAAGGCAGAGGCCGTGCTCAAAGAAGAGAGAGAGAGGGGGGGGTCGAGCCAGGTCACTCCCCCCCCCAGTCCCCCCCCCCCCCCACGCCCTCCCCTCCCCTTCGAGCCTCGCCTACACAGACAAAAAGAAATCGAGCGGCGCTGGTTTGCTAATGAAGGCAGAGGCCATGCTCAGAGAGAGAGAGAGAGAGAGAGGGTCGAGCCAGGTCACTGCCACACCTACGGGCAGCACGCCTCGGCGTTAGCATCGCGACGACCGGCACACTCTCTCGTGTCCTCGGCGCTAGGACTGGAGCCGGGCAGCGATTGGCAAGCGAGCGGGCTGCGTCGCTCTCTCGCCGGAAAAGAGTGGGGGCAATCGGGCGGGTTCGCTCAGGGTGGGGAACGAGCGGCAGCGGCCGCGTCTCGCGGCTCCCCGATGGCAGCAGCCTCACCTGCGAACGGGAGGTGGCAGGAATTGTGAGGCCGAGGGGGGCGTAGCCGCTCGGGCGCCAAATCGAAGCGCATCGCATGGTGGGAGCGGAGAGGGAGCGGCGGGTTGCGTGAGCAGGAGGCGTCGCGCCGCTCGGGCGTGCAGCTCCCCGCGGCCATATGTGCGTCGACGCGGCGGGGCAAGCGCGAGCGGAAGGCGAGGGTTGGACCTGTGGACCGTCGGCGAGTCGAGGGGAATGTGACGCGCGCTTTTGGATATCTATATGGAAGGACACCGAGTAAGCCAGCCGAACGCCCCGCCTCGATCAAAAAGAGCGCCTTCGGCACTACTCTCTCGAGGTCCCGCGGATCTTATAAATCAGCCGAACGGCCAAGGGCAACCCCGCAAGACTATAAACTACTAAAACAAAGACGGGCACGGGCAAGTACTACTCGCTTAGTGTGGGTAAACCATAAAAGTAGGTTTGAATTCGTCCACGTAAGGCTTGGTGAGTGGTTGGGGTGGCCTCAGGCATCCCCAAGGGAGCCTCTGCGGTGCCACATAAGCAGCTTAGTGATTGTCGAGACTTTAAAGGATCGTTGGAAGAAACGCAAACAGGACAGACGCTACTACGATGGTCACCAGTAAACCATAATTCGACTTTGAGGGATCATATCTCAAAAGGCTGGGTGAGAGCATAGCATTATTGTTGTATATTAGGCCGCATAAGGTCAAACTCGACCCCACAAGCATCAAGAACCCGATGCTCCGGCTCGACTGTGCCGGCACACTGCCTCCTCGCGCACGCTGCTAGCAGGCCGTTGCGGCCCGTGGTGCACCAGAGAGAGAGGTCGACACGTTGCCCCCGCCGGCGAGTCCGCGCGGCTCAGGCCGGCCAGAAGGTGTGTGGTGGCGGCACCGTGGCAGGATTGCGGAGAAGAGCTCGCCGAACGCGAGCAGCAGATGGCCAAAGTGTGCCAGCGCGAGAGCCTCGCGAGCGGGCGCAGAAGGAGCTCGCCGTGACACGATGCCGGGCGGTGGTGGTGCTCTGGCGACTGTGCACAGTGGGCAAAGTCAGGCTGCAGCAGGGCAGCACGATGGTAGTGCCCTGCTGCAGCCTGGCCTGACATGCACAGGGCGAACAGAGACACTACTATCGTCTGGCGCTCGTCACCGAATCTGGGCCAACTTCGACCGCCGCCACAGCTCGCCACGAGCACGCAGCGACAAAATGTTGACTGTACGGAAGTTGAGGCTGGTCCAGAGGAAGAGGCTGCCGTGCGAGCCGGCAGCAGGCTGGCTCGTCGTGGACTGCAGCAGCGACTTTTATGGGTTTCTCTGTTCATAGTTCGCCGTCAACGATTGGGGTAACGATTGCGGAAAAAGTTGGAACGTTCGCGCGCCCGCTCTCTGCTCGCTCTCACCGCCACCAGCGAGCGCCGGACCGCAGCCCGGCCCACGCGGCCGGGCACCACCGTGATGGCGGCCTCGCGGCCGACCATCGCTCCCGACGAGGATATCGCGGCCCTCCTCGAGCGGGCGCAAGTTTCTGCGCCCATCTCAGATAAGGTGGTGCCGCAGCTGCTGGCCCAGGATGTCGGCAGCGTCGCGGCGCCGCTCGAGGCGGGCAGCAGCGCGGTGGCCGGCGGCGATGGTGCTGCGGGCGAGCGCGCGGGCGGCGGCGTCGGTACAGGCGCTGCCGAGGGTGCCGTGCATGCCGCATTGCATGCGATTGCCGCAGCCGGGCTTAGCGGCCCCCGCGGCGGAGATGGGACGCGCTCCGCTAGCGAGGAGCACGGCGGCGGGGCGGCGGCCGGCGGCGAGGGCCGCGGCGGCGCGCGCCCCCAAGAGGCGGACAGCGGCGCCTGTGATGCGCAGGCCGCAGAGGGTGGAATCGGAGGTGGGACCGAGGTGTCCAGTTTGGACCCCTTGGTGCCCGCGCTGCCGACGAGCGGCGATGGGACGATCGACGCTGCGAGGGAGGATGAGGAGGAGTGGGCTGCGGCGGCGGCGGCCTACCGGCAGGTGTGCCCGGTGCGGCGAGAGGTGGCCGTGTTCGAGGAGTACAGGCGCCAGGCAGCTGCTGAGGGCCGTGCAGCAGCAGAGGCAGCGGCGGAGGCGGAGATGGAGGAGGAGGAGCCCGAAACGGGCAGCGGGGAGGCTGCGGCATTGGCCGCGCCCCTGCGCGGCCTGGCGTCTGCGCCAGGCTGCGCTGGCACAACGGACAGGGTCACTTCTTTTTCCGACACTCTCCGCCCCGCCTGCAGCGCGACAACGGCTTCATCATCTTCATCAGCGGCCTTCATCCATGCCTACCGGCCTCCTGACCCTTTGAGTGTCGGGCCTTGCGGCGTGATATGCGCCCGCGGATACGCCACAATCTGGCCCGCCGGATACGACGAACCCTGCCTCCTCGATGGGGCAGCGATTCGGCTGCTGGCGTCGGCGATGGCGACAGTGCGGGCGTATGAGGACATCGAGGCGCGTCGCGGCCGGGATGGTGGCGATGTCCGGGACGTGCGCTGCTGCCGGGACGTGCGCTCCTGGGCGGAAGTCTGCGCGGCGGCTCGCGAGAGGGAGTTCAAGATCTTGGCTCGCGATTCGGTTCGCGCGGCGGCGGCTCGCGCGGCGGCTCGCGCGGCGGCGGCTCGCGCGGCGGCGGAGGCGGCGGCAGAGGTGGCTGAGGCGGCGAAGGAGGAGGAGCCCGAAACGGGCAGCGGGGAGGCTGCGGCATTGGCCGCGCCCCTGCGCGGCCTGGCGTCTGCGCCAGGCTGCGCTGGCACAACGGACAGGGTCACTTCTTTTTTCGACACTCTCCGCCCCGCTTGCAACGCGACAACGGCTTCATCACCTTCATCATCCTCGACATCCATCGCCGGTGCGGCGGCCGGCGAGGCCGCGGCGGCGGCGCCGGCGTTGACCAAGAGCGCTAGGAAGCGGCTCAAGGAGAAGGCGAGGAAGGGGCGGCGCGCTGCAGAGGCGGCGGGCGAGCCGGAGGTGGCGCCATCGCCGGCGCCGCCGCCGGTGTTCAAGACGCTCAGGGAGAAGAAGGCGGCTCAGGCGTCAGCGGAGGGCTGGGCGGCGGAGGTGGCGAGGGCCGAGGAGCTCTACGAGGAGCTGCGCGAGCGCGCGCCCCAGCACTGCCGCCGTGGCGGCAAGTGGGCGCGCGAGAAGTTCGTGATGGCGGTGCAGGGAGAGTTCCCGCGCGCGCGAGGGGCAGGCGTTCCCAAGGGGACGGTCCTGTGCCTCGGCAGGGTGCTCGACGCGCACGATGAGCAGGATGACGCGGAGGGTGGGCACCGGGACTGGGAGGAGGACCCGCTCGGGTTCGACACCAACCCGATGCTGCTCCGCGCCATGTGCATGGCGTTCGAGTGAACGCCGTGCAGGCAGCCTGTGCCTTTTGGTGTACCCCGTTTGTACCGCGTCCTGTGCCCCCGAGTTCATTTAATAAAACGATTGGGGTAGGGTCTCAACTCGTCTTCTCATATGAAGGGTCTTCATCCCTCCTGCCAGTCTTCACGGATTTTTCTCCGTGAACTCTCAGGACGCGACGTACGTCCAAGCACGTTCCGCGTGCCTCGTGGCCGCGCTCTTTGCGTGCTGCTCCTGCAGCTCTCTCGCTGCTCTTCCTGGCCCGGCGCCGTGCCAGCTCTGTGGCCGCGCCAGGCTCTGCGACCGCGCCAGCACTCTGGCTGCGCCGGTTCTTCGCTTTCTGGTGCAGATTCTGCTGCTGCGGCTTTTTCTGCTGTTGCCAGACTGCTGGCGGGCAGCAGCGCACGATGGACAGTGGCTGCATCCGCTACGCCTGCAGCAGCCGTGACGTCTCTCACCTCCTGCCTCGGCGGCCTCGACCACTCGGTGGCCCGCAGCGGTGGCTCACCGCTCTGGCTTGACTGCTGGCTCAGCTCCACTGTTGGCGTGCTGTGGTCTCTCATCCATGACCGTCACCTTCTGCGGCCCAGCTTTCTGGCATCAATGGGCCCAGGCAGACCCACTGGGTAGACCTCCTCCCCAGGCAGCCACTGGGACCTGTCGACAGCCCACGGCTCGCTCGTGCGGCGTGGCGTCTAAGTCGCACATCCTTCTGGGCCTTAGCCCACTCTGCTGCCTCTCGGCAGCTTGGCGTTGCGAGCAGCTCTCTGCTGTCGCATCGGCTTCTCTCTTTGGTTCTCAGACCCTCCCGCCCCTCTGGCGGCGTGGCGTTGCGACCAGCCCTCTGCTGTCGCATCGTCTTCTCTCTTTGGTTCTCAGATCCTCCCGCCCCTCTGGCGGCGTGGCGTTGCGACCAGCCCTCTGATGTCGCATCGTCTTCTCTCTCGACGGCGTGAGCCTCGTCTCGCTCTTCGTCTACTCGAGCCTCGTCTCGTGTGCCGCCTCGTGGGCGGCGTGGCGTGGCGGGCGGCTGTCTCTGCCGCCGCCTCGAGTGAGCCTCGTCTCGCTCTTCGTCTACTCGAGCCTCGTCTCGTGTGCCGCCTCGTGGGCGGCGTGGCGTGGCGGGCGGCTGTCTCTGCCGCCGCCACGAGTGAGCCTCGTCTCGCTCTTCGTCTATTCGAGCCTCGCCTCGCGTGCCGCCTCGTGGGCGGCGTGGCGTGTCGGGCGGCTGTCTCTGCCGCCGCCTCGAGTGAGCCTCGTCTCGCGCTTCGTCTACTCGAGCCTCGTCTCGTGTGCCGCCTCGTGGGCGGCGTGGCGTGGCGGGCGGCTGTCTCTGCCGCCGCCTCGAGTGAGCCTCGTCTCGCTCTTCGTCTACTCGAGCCTCGTCTCGTGTGCCGCCTCGTGGGCGGCGTGGCGTGGCGGGTGGCTGTCTCTGCCGCCGCCTCGAGTGAGCCTCGTCTCGCTCTTCGTCTACTCGAGCCTCGTCTCGTGTGCCGCCTCGTGGGCGGCGTGGCGTGGCGGGCGGCTGTCTCTGCCGCCGCCTCGAGTGAGCGTCGTCTCGCTCTTCGTCTACTCGAGCCTCGTCTCGTGTGCCGCCTCGTGGGCGGCGTGGCGTGGCGGGCGGCTGTCTCTGCCGCCGCCTCGAGTGGGCTTCGTCTCGCCCTTCGTCTACTCGAGCCTCGTCTCGTGTGCCGCCTCATGGGCGGCGTGGCGGGGCGGGCGGCTGTCTCTGCCGCCGCCTCGAGTGAGCCTCGTCTCGCTCTTTGTCTACTCGAGCCTCGTCTCGTGTGCCGCCTCGTGGGCGGCGTGGCGTGGCGGGCGGCTATCTCTGCCGCCGCCTCGAGTGAGCCTCGTCTCGCTCTTCGTCTACTCGAGCCTCGTCTCGTGTGCCGCCTCATGGGCGGCGTGGCGTGGCGGGCGGCTGTCTCTGCCGCCGCCTCGAGTGAGCCTCGTCTCGCTCTTCCGTCTACTCGAGCCTCGTCTCGTGTGCCGCCTCATGGGCGGCGTGGCGTGGCGGGCGGCTGTCTCTGCCGCCGCCTCGAGTGAGCCTCGTCTCGCCCTTCGTCTACTCGAGCCTCGTCTCGTGTGCCGCCTCGTGGGCGGCGTGGCGTGGCGGGCGGCTGTCTCTGCCGCCGCCTCGAGTGAGCCTCGTCTCGCTCTTCGTCTACTCAAGCCTCGTCTCGCGTGCCGCCTCGTGGGCGGCGTGGCGGGCGGGCGGCTGTCTCTGCCGCCGCCTCGAGTGAGCCTCGTCTCGCTCTTTGTCTACTCGAGCCTCGTCTCGTGTGCCGCCTCGTGGGCGGCGTGGCGTGGCGGGCGGCTGTCTCTGCCGCCGCCTGGGCCTCGTCTCGCTCTTCGTCTACTCGAGCCTCGCTTCGTGTGCCGCCTCGTGGGCGGCGTGGCGTGGCGGGCGGCTGTCTCTGCCGCCGCCTCGAGTGAGCCTCGCCTCACTCTTCGTCTACTCGAGCCTCGTCTCGTGTGCCGCCTCGTGGGCGGCGTGGCGGGCGGGCGGCTGTCTCTGCCGCCGCCTCGAGTGAGCCCCGTCTCGCTCTTCGTCTACTCGAGCCTCGTCTCGTGTGCCGCCTCGTGGGCGGCGTGGCGTGGCGGGCGGCTGTCTCTGCCGCCGCCTCGAGTGAGCCTCGTCTCGCTCTTCGTCTACTCGAGCCTCGTCTCGTGTGCCGCCTCATGGGCGGCGTGGCGTGGCGGGCGGCTGTCTCTGCCGCCGCCTCGAGTGAGCCTCGTCTCGCTCTTCGTCTACTCGAGCCTCGTCTCGTGTGCCGCCTCGTGGGCGGCGTGGCGTGGCGGGCGGCTGTCTCTGCCGCCGCCTCGAGTGAGCCTCGTCTCGCTCTTTGTCTACTCGAGCCTCGTCTCGTGTGCCGCCTCGTGGGCGGCGTGGCGTGGCGGGCGGCTGTCTCTGCCGCCGCCTGGGCTTCGTCTCGCTCTTCGTCTACTCGAGCCTCGCTTCGTGTGCCGCCTCGTGGGCGGCGTGGCATGGCGGGCGGCTGTCTCTGCCGCCGCCTCGAGTGAGCCTCGCCTCACTCTTCGTCTACTCGAGCCTCGTCTCGTGTGCCGCCTCGTGGGCGGCGTGGCGGGCGGGCGGCTGTCTCTGCCGCCGCCTCGAGTGAGCCTCGTCTCGCTCTTCGTCTACTCGAGCCTCGTCTCGTGTGCCGCCTCGTGGGCGGCGTGGCGTGGCGGGCGGCTGTCTCTGCCGCCGCCTCGAGTGAGCCTCGTCTCGCTCTTCGTCTACTCGAGCCTCGTCTCGTGTGCCGCCTCATGGGCGGCGTGGCGTGGCGGGCGGCTGTCTCTGCCGCCGCCTCGAGTGAGCCTCGTCTCGCTCTTCGTCTACTCGAGCCTCGTCTCGTGTGCCGCCTCGTGGGCGGCGTGGCGTGGCGGGCGGCTGTCTCTGCCGCCGCCTCGAGTGAGCCTCGTCTCGCTCTTCGTCTACTCAAGCCTCGTCTCGTGTGCCGCCTCGTGGGCGGCGTGGCGGGCGGGCGGCTGTCTCTGCCGCCGCCTCGAGTGGGCTTCGTCTCGCTCTTCGTCTACTCGAGCCTCGCTTCGTGTGCCGCCTCGTGGGCGGCGTGGCGTGGCGGGCGGCTGTCTCTGCCGCCGCCTCGAGTGAGCCTCGTCTCACTCTTCGTCTACTCGAGCCTCGTCTCGTGTGCCGCCTCGTGGGCGGCGTGGCGTGGCGGGCGGCTGTCTCTGCCGCCGCCTCGAGTGAGCCTCGTCTCGCTCTTCGTCTACTCGAGCCTCGTCTCGTGTGCCGCCTCGTGGGCGGCGTGGCGTGGCGGGCGGCTGTCTCTGCCGCCGCCTCGAGTGGGCTTCGTCTCGCCCTTCGTCTACTCGAGCCTCGTCTCGTGTGCCGCCTCGTGGGCGGCGTAGCGGGCGGCTGTCTCTGCCGCCGCCTCGAGTGCGCCTCGTCTCGCTCTTCGTCTACTCAAGCCTCGTCTCGTGTGCCGCCTCGTGGGCGGCGTGGCGTGGCGGGCGGCTGTCTCTGCCGCCGCCTCGAGTGAGCCTCGTCTCGCCCTTCGTCTACTCAAGCCTCGTCTCGTGTGCCGCCTCGTGGGCGGCGTGGCGTGGCGGGCGGCTGTCTCTGCCGCCGCCTCGAGTGAGCCTCGTCTCGCTCTTCGTCTACTCGAGCCTCGTCTCGTGTGCCGCCTCGTGGGCGGCGTAGCGGGCGGCTGTCTCTGCCGCCGCCTCGAGTGAGCCTCGTCTCGCTCTTCGTCTACTCGAGCCTCGCTTCGTGTGCCGCCTCGTGGGCGGCGTGGCGTGGCGGGCGGCTGTCTCTGCCGCCGCCTCGAGTGAGCCTCGTCTCGCTCTTCGTCTACTCAAGCCTCGCCTCGTGTGCCGCCTCGTGGGCGGTGTGGCGTGGCGGGCGGCTGTCTCTGCCGCCGCCTCGAGTGAGCTTCGTCTCACTCTTTGTCTACTCGAGCCTCGCCTCGTGTGCCGCCTCGTGGGCGGCGTGTCGGGCGGCTGTCTCTGCCGCCGCCTCGAGTGAGCCTCGTCTCGCTCTTCGTCTACTCGAGCCTCGCCTCGTGTGTCGCCTCGTGGGCGGCGTGGCGTGGCGGGCGGCTGTCTCTGCCGCCGCCTCGAGTGAGCCTCGTCTCACTCTTCGTCTACTCAAGCCTCGACTCGTGTGCCGCCTCGTCAGCGGCGTGGCGGGCGGTCGGCTGCATCAGCTGTCGCCCCGCCCGAGTGCGTCTCGTCTCGCTTACCCTCTACTCGAGCCTCGACTCGTGTGCCTCCTCGTCAGCGGCGTGGCGGGCGGTCGGCTGCATCAGCTGTCGCCCCGCCCGAGTGTCTCTCGTCTCGCTACTCGAGCCTCGACTCGTGCGCCGCCTCGCCAGCGGCGTGGCGGGCTGTCGGTTGCATCAGCTGTCGCCCCGCCCGAGTGTCTCTCGTCTCGCTGCACGAGCCTCGACTCGTGTGCCGCCTCGTCTGCGGCGTGGCGGGCGGTCGGCTGCATCAGCTGTCGCCCCGCCCGAGTGTCTCTCGTCTCGCTGCACGAGCCTCGACTCGTTCGCCGCCTCGTCAGCTGCGTGGCGGGCGGTCGGCTGCATCAGCTGTCGCTCCGCCCGAGTGCGTCTCGTCTCGCTTACCCTCTACTCGAGCCTCGACTCGTGTGCCTCCTCGTCGGCGGCGTGGTGAGCAGTCAACCGTCTCGCTCCTGGCTGTCACAGGCGGGTTGATCGGTCCTTGGCCTTCTAGTCAAGTGGGCGCCTGGGCGTGGCGAGGCAGCTGGCCTTCGGCCTCTTCTCGCTTTCCTCCGAGCGGTTGCTCTCTCGCACCACGCTCTCGGCCGCCCAGGCGGCTCCGTTCCACGGAGCAGTTGCCCCTCTCTCGGCTACATTGGGTTGTGAGGGCCCTCTGCTCCTTTGCCCTCGCTCCTCCACTACTGCTTTGGGATGTCAGGTACTGCGTAGCTCTTCCTTGTGGAGGCACGCGACGACTCCAGACGGACCCTAGTACGCTCCAATGTATCCTCACGGATGCTAGGAAGTGAAGCCCAGATAAAGTAGTTCGCCGTCAACGATTGGGGTAGGGGCCCCAACTCGTGTGAGGCTACTACTTTATCGCAGGTACTCACTGAGGAGCGTCTTCTCATATGAAGGGTCTTCATCCCTCCTGCCAGTCTTCACGGATTTTTCTCCGTGAACACTCAGGACGCGACGTACGTCCAAGCACGTTCCGCGTGCCTCGTGGCCGCGCTCTTTGCGTGCTGCTCCTGCAGCTCTCTCGCTGCTCTTCCTGGCCCGGCGCCGTGCCAGCTCTGTGGCCGCGCCAGGCTCTGCGACCGCGCCAGCACTCTGGCTGCGCCGGTTCTTCGCTTTCCCCACCCACCCTCTCCTGGAATGAGGGGGGTCGTTCTGAGGGCTCTCCGCATGGTTAGCTCCTCCCTCTCTCTGGTCTGTGGTGCGATCCCTTTCGGCGACGCGGCCAGGCCACGGGGCGTTGAGGCTTGCCTCCGTGCCCGTGGTCGTCCAAGCTGATCGAGTCCCAACCCACCGCCTTTAGTGGCAGGACCCCAGCAAGGGGATGTCAGGTACTGCGTAGCTCTTCCTTGTGGAGGCACGCGACGACTCCAGACGGACCCTAGTACGCTCCAATGTATCCTCACGGATGCTAGGAAGTGAAGCCCAGATAAAGTAGTAGCGTGCACGCTACTATGGTTTACCCACACTAAGCGAGTAGCCCGGTCGAACACTGCCCAAACAAATAAATTCCCCCTTTGAGCTGAGAGGTTTGGGAGAGATTCTTCTTCTCGAGGTTTGGGGATTCGCTCCGAGCGACGGTCCAACGAGAATCGTCAAAATCAGGCAATGAAGAGACCGGTAGCCACCAGCATGTCGGTGCGTCTTTCTCATGCTCCCGCGCCCCCCCAGCGCCCCCCGCGCCCGAACTATGCACGGGCCCGGCTCGCCCGCTTGGGGATCCACCCGGCACATCCCCGCCCCCCACCTGCCGGCTTACCTGCCGTCAGTTCACGCGCCTTCAGCCTTGCCTCACAGCCGACCTTCTGGTCGCACGCGGGTTCTTAAGGGTCGCACATGCCCGCCATGACGTCTTCCAACCGGCCGAACGCAGGCGGAGGAGGGCATTGAGGAGGCGGTGGCGGCGGAGGGAGGGGCTGCGGCTCCGCGGCTACAAAGGCGTACGCGAGATCAACAAGGCCTCGAGCGGGGGCGGGCCTGCGAGCTCCTCGTCGCACCCACTGCCGTCCTGATGTGTTCCAGTCACTTGGCCCGTCTGACCTTCCTAGGCGGGGCGGTGGGCGTGGGCGCGCGGCGGGCGGGGTGCGGTGTGTGGGTGTGTGGGGGGGGGGGGGGGTG